GGTCAAAGTGAATGTGCATGGTGCCACTTGCCACTCTTCGCTGTTGCTTTGGCGTGCTTCTTGGTAGTTGCACGCTTTACGCAGATATCTCTTGCAAAGTCGAGAAGCCGGCGGCTAGGGCAAAGAGCTGCGAAAGTGCAGCAGACCATGGCCGTGTTGTACGAGGACCTGTGGGAGGAATCGCCCGAGACCATCAGCAAGTTTGCAGGGGTCCTAGGAGACCTAGGCATCGACGGCAGCGAAGTGACCGAACGGGTCACGGGCATGCGCGCGCGGCAAAGCGAGACAGCAGGTGTAAGCCTAAGGTACCTGCTGTCTGAAGACTTTGAGGTGCTAGCGACTACGCGGACCGGTCATACGGATCCAAGCTTCAACGACATGAAGGTATTCTGGCTGGGCGAAGAGCCCATCGGCAGGGACGTGGTGTGCCCCCGCGATGGCAAGCCCGGCTGCGCACTGGTTGATTGCATTCCTCGGCCAGATCGACGGCAGCAAACTCATTTCTTGTCGTGGACATGGCGCTACACTTTGGCGGAAGTGAAGAGTGCCTTGAGGGTGTATAGAGACGCACACCTGGCCGCAACTGATGCAGTGTTCTTCTTCATGTGCTTTTTTGTTAATAATCAGTACAGGATAATGGTTGAAGGATCCGCCACTGGTAGTGACAACCTGGAAAGCGTGTTTGCGGACAACCTGACTCGAATCGGGCGGATGGTGGCCATCTTGGACACATGGAAGCAGCCCGTTTATTTAAGGCGAGTTTGGACGGTCTACGAGCAGTTTATCGCATCCACGCTCGAGATCCCAGTTGTCTTTGCCATGCCAGAAGCATCCGTGGCCTCAGTGCGACAGCAGATTCTCCGCGGCGAAGGTGGCATCACGGAAGTGACTGAGTCTATGAAAAATGTGAACTCAGCTTCCGCCGAAGCCTGGGACCCAAAGGACGAAACCAAGGTGAAACGCGAAATTCAGAGAACAGTGGGCTTCTCGCATGTTGACGACCACGTCAGGGAGGTGATGATCCAGTGGGTTGGAGGAGTCGTGGAAGACCAGTTCCAGAGACTCATAGACCAAGGCAGCAATAGCTCTGCTGATCAACATGCAAGGGCTCACGTGCTGTCCCTATAATAGGGACATACTGGAGTCGATGGCAAAGGGCGAAACTGCCCGAGACTCGAGGCTAACAAACTGGCCATCAGTTTGCGTGCATGCTGCGTTCTCATGCCTGCTTTGGGCCAACAGTGTTCATGCAGGACACACAGCTCACAATGTTTCTCATCAAGTTTCTGGAAGTGGAATTGATTGTCCGGGACAGCAAAGAGAAATGCCAAAAGATGCAACGCCGTCGCGGGTCACGCCTGCTCGCGTAGCGACAGCGACAGGCCGTGCCACCTTTAATTGAGGACACTTCGATGTTTCACCCGTCACTGCTGGATCTGCAACTGTCTGTTTCGTTCGCATGGGAGCTGTTCATGTCTCACAGAAATCAATGTTGATCCCAACGACATGGAACACAACATGCTCATCATGTTCCTTCCTCCAGGCCAGCCATGTGGTATTCAAGCGGGGACATCATTTGCAGCAAGTTTCACGCACACGTGTCACACGCACGCACCCGCATCAAGGCAAGAAGTTTGCCGTTTGCATGGCTCTGCTTACGTTCATTCTCCCATCTTGAGCCATGTCTTGCCGCCATCTCATGCCAGGCAAGGCTTGGATTATCAGGCAGGCCTGGTTTGGCGAGTTTGGCTGCCAGGCTTCTGGGCGGTTGCTTTTCGTCAGCGGCCCGTTGAAAGCGAGTTGAGGCTGGGATCTGTCGCTGGCACTTGGAGCGTGGTCAAAAAACTGCAACGTAGGCCGTGAATAACATTGATGAACCAGGTCTGATGCCGGCTCTCTCCGCCGTCGCTTGACTAGCGTGGATCTGACAATGATAGGCACCCCAGCCGCAGTGAGCTCCTCTTACATCCGCTCAGCCACAGGCGACTTCTGCCATTCTTGGAGTTGAGATGTACAAACTCTTTCTTGTGTCTTCCCAGGAATCGGTTCCAGCATTGGTTCAGGCAGTGCCTGTGAGCAGCCTGTGCTTTGCTTGAAGCGGCATTAAGCTGCTGCCTGCCTTTTTTTGTTCCAGGCATCTTCGTGATTACCGGCGTTGCTGCAAAATCCACAGGGCCTGCAGTGTGCAGCTGCGCTGCACAAGACTTGTCGTCCTTTCGAGTGGCACACAGATGCAAGAAACGTGCCAATTTTCTTGGCTTGCAGAAAATTGGCTGTCCAGAGGCTTTTCGTTCCTCATCGCTGCAGTCAGTTGCTCCTTGGTAATAAATTCAGATGGGGCACATGACCGTATCAGCGCATAAGTTGGAGGCATCTTCAGTGCCTTGTGTTATGCAGAGCTGGCTGCACGCATACCTGTGCTGCTTGGCAGCACTGCTTGGGGAAGCCAGAAAGTGCGAAATTACATCTGTGTGCACAGTGGCCGTAGGTCGGGCTCTGTTTACCTCTATGCGTACGTTGCGTTTGGTGAGTTCTTGGCCGTGCTCTTTGGTTTGCGACTTGGTTCCAAAGCCTGCCTTTGTATGAGAACTCATCAGCCTGTTCTCTCTTTGCATGTGCTGCATTGCACAGGAATGTGCTGGTCGATTACCATGTTGGTGCGGCGATCAGCGTGTCTTCTTGTGCTTCTTACCTTCGCAAGACGCTGCTAGTATGCGATCCAGCAAAGCTTTGTCGCAGTTTACTGTCCAGGGAAAGCACACGCCAATTCACACGAGACCCCTACGTGCATCACTTGACAAGTTGAGCTGCACAACACGACTGTTGTGTCGTAATCAAGACTCTTCCGGGTTGGATCCGTCCTCCGACAGGTCATCAACACACCCCTCTAAGTGTCCTCAGTATTCTTCATGCGCCGTCCGCTAGAAACGACGACATCATCACCTGTTCCCAATGTCCTTCACTGGCTTGTATTGTTGACGGGCTCTTGTGTCGGAAACGAGAGACCAATGAGTGTCTTCGGGGTGATAAGTCGTATTCCCATCGTCCGCACAGGCTTCTGCTGATGTTCCCGGCCATGTGGCTGCCAGACACACAGGCTCGACATAGCGTTCATACTTCGCTCCGTCTTCTGTCCTGTGGCTCTTCCACCCTTGGGCCTTGTCAGGTGCTTTCACTTGTTCTGGTGGCGGTCCTGACAGGTGGCTTTGCTGGATCGGGCAGTGCTGTGACGCTGGTATTTTTCCAGCACTGAGGCATCTTATCGGTTGGCGTAGAAAGCGGGTTGAAGCGGGTGAATGGCTTGCTGGTGTTTAGCACCTCGGTGGCAGCTCCATTGTGGACTACTGTAGTGTGTTGTGCCCGGCCTGACTGCAGTTTGTCATCCAGCATGGCACATGACAGGTGCTGGGTAACTCATGCGGCTAGTGCCTAGTGCCCCTGCGAAGAAGGTAAGATGGTCATTGTGTTGCTGATCATCGGCATTGGCTCGACCAAGGTGTCGAAAGAGCTGTCTTTGTGCAATGTCTAAGTCGTTTTGCAGCTGGGTCTGCATAGGTGCGAGCAGACAATCTGAGCCCGTTCTTCCCGCAGATTGCTTACCTAGGGTAGCTTCGTACTCTTGCGGACTGTTCTGTTTCCTTGCGCCAAGGTGTGGGTTCGGGCCGGTGGCCAGCATGTCGCGCCCTCAGTCGGAGCCAAAGCAGCAAAGAAAGTGTCAGGAGACTGTTTGAGAAAAGATGGTCAAGCTTAAGTTGATGGTTTGAGCATGCCAGCAGGTCTGCGACATGCTCATTCTCCTTCATAGGACAGGCACTTCTGTATTCCCAGCCACGATTGATCCGCCATATCATGTTGCGCTTCCACGGCATCAAACTTGCGAGCTTTCTGACTCTATGTTCTTCATGAACCGTTCATGGTTATTGTTGTTTTGTGTCAGCAGGATTTGGAACTGTAACAAATGCTGCCGAAGAGTGCCAAAATCCTCAGCGAGATCTTCCGATTGGCATTACAGCTTCCCTGCTCATCTGCCACTTGCACGCATTTGTGCATAAAGAGACAGACGTGCATAGAAGCCACTCTTTGCCGCAAGCTCAGGTGCGATCCTGATCCTCGGAAGCAGTCCAGTTCCAGTCCTTCGATGGGAGCTCTTGATCAGTTGGGCACGCTTCTTGAGGTACATCTTCTTCTCGCTAGTGCTGGTGCTGTCCTTATTGCGAGTTGCGCGGATGTGCTAGGGGCCCTGGAAATGCTACTGAGGTGGGCATCATTCCTTACACAGAAATAGATGAGGCAGGTGGTGCGTCGTCCTGCAGAAGGGTGCTACTGCTACTGCCGCAAATGCTCTAGTTCGCCACTCGGTGGCAAAGACTCGTGAGCCTTTCCCTACTCGTGTTTTGCAGGCGGCGCCGGTGGAAGCAGCCTTCAGCCCACAGTATGCCAACATCCCTTGGGTTGGAGCCTCACATCTCAGCCTTTGTCGGCCTCCTTGTGCCATTTCTGAGGTGTCCATGCTTGTCAACTGGGGCGCAGTCATCGGCTTGTTCACAACACTGGTGACGGGATTGTATTCACAGGCCTGTGGAGTCCATACTGTGCAATATAGATCCTCCAACACCCCATCGTGATGGCGGGTGGAAAGCGATAAGAGACCTAGAGGCCGAATGGTGGGGCAATGCCAGGGCTTTAGACACGAGCGCTTTGAAACTGGCGGGAATTGGACTCGGCACGCGGAAGAGCCGAAGCGACACCCTACCAGGGTTCAGACTTTTCTTTCTAGCCTCTATGATGTATTTATTGAAAAAGCGCCTACTTGGTTGTACAAGAAAGTCTGGACGTAATGTCGATGTTGTGCCAGTGAAGGCTCGCATGTATCTTGCTATGGCACGAGATGCGCCTTGGCTAAACCGAGTGGCTCCGTTCATGTCGAATGCCATCGCAGATTGCAAGCAGGGTCTTTTCTTCTCGCCTTTCGGCAGCTCGACCGCAAAGGATTCTAGACATGTCTACACCTCTGACGGAAACGAAAAGGTTCAGTCTAGGTTTGTGAAGATCAGGTTTGCAATCTGAGGTCGAGTGTCGACTCTTGGGACCCCTATCAATTCTCAAGTCCTCTGTGGAGTCATAGCAGCACTGCTGGCAGTGTTCCTCCCCGAGCCTCGTCTGATTCGCTTTCCTTCCGCTGAGTACCAAATCTTGTCCGATACGACGGGAAATCAAACCTCTGGGTAGTCCTGGCTCATGAGGTGGAAAGACTGGTCCTTTTCCTAAACATCGGCGTGTTGTTCTCGTATACAATCGCTGCTTGGAGTTCCAGACAGTCGCGTAGGAATGCCAACGAGTTTTTAGGTAACCAGTCAACCCAAGGTGTGACAGTGTGGTGTTTCTCGATAAGGTTTGTGCTGGGGTACTCGTGCTTCGCGCGGATGCCCCGGAGAAAGCCGCCCGGTGGGCCGCTATGATGACGCTTGTCCATTTCAGTTTCCTAAAAGCATCATTGCCCGAAAATCCAAGCATCGCAGAAAAGTTTAAGTGTTTTATTTTTTCAGGCAGGTTCTTCCGACAGGGACCAGACATAGCAGTGTGCCGCAAACCATAAAGTTTGAAGAAGCCGGAGCTTCGTGTGGCACTGACAGAACCAGTCCAGCAAACCGGGATCGGCTACATAAATAAGTAGAATATCCACCCCAGGACCTGCGCCGCTATTGTGGCATCTGCGAGCTCCACCTTCATGCCCTTCGGAGCTCGCTTATATCATGCTTGGTTTGGTGTCTTGCTGTCACAGTTCTGCTGGCTATGCTCATGACAGTTCGCAGAGTCGGTGGGCTCTCATCAGCACCTCCGTCTTCGCAAGCGCAGCAACCAGCCTTCACTCTGGAAGAGTGCCTCTGTCCCAAGCCCCTCGCCTTTTGAAACTGAGGTGGCTTTGTGTTGGATTCCGTTTTTCCAGCGGAGCTATTCCAGACCAGAAACATTTGCTTGTCCTGGCTGCCCTTGGGTGCCTCTGCTTGGACTGACAATCAACGGCTACATGCTTTCGCAGTGCACTGGCCTCAGTAGGACATCCGAGAAGCTGCACTTGGACTCTGAGAAGCGATGCTCGGGCTCAGGCCACTGGCAAGCGTGGCTTCGGCTACTTGCCACGACTTTCCTGATCCTGGCAGCCTACCTGTTCCGAGTCCGAGCATTGTATTCAGGACGCTTGAAAGCACGGATGCATCCCGATAGGGTTGTGCTGGCGCCTCGTTTGCAGGAGGCAGCGACAGCCGCGAGTTGACTGTATCGCTGCCCACGGTTAATGATGACGGTGATTGCATCGATACTACTGCTCGATGACCCCAGTCCGCAGCAATGTTTTCCATTCCGTCTCCAGTCTGCGTGAGCATGTGGCATGGCCAAGACTTCCCCAACGGCACCTGCGTCTGTATTGCGCAGCGTCTGGTGAATATCGTTGGAGCTTCAGAAGCAGAGACCAACAAGTGGAACAAGAGCCGGCTCGAGAAGACCAAGATTGCTGCTCCTGTCTCGGGCTCCATCCTCTGCACTGCTTCGACTGCCCGGGACTTCATGGCCTCTGTCAGACATCGTCTATATCGTTTGCCCATGTTTGCCCAGAGCCGAGCATCCATCACGCCTACAGTCTGGACCCTGAGTGCCAAGAGGCGTACACCCGCGAGCCAGGAACGAGGAACCGTGCAAAGTTATTGGTTTGTGCGAAGAGGAAAAGCTGGTGCTCGAAGTCGGTTGTTTCAGACTTGTCTGAGCATCTTTCCATAAGCAGGGGTCTCAGCCTCGTGAGAGTTGAGCTTCGACATCAAACGGAGTTTGAAGTACGACAGGTGCCAGTCCGCGCATGCTCCACTTTCCCACTAAATTCAGCCTTGAGCTAAGACCTCAATCACTCCCTTTTTCCTTTACGTTCACCAACCCCAGAATCGAGCTAGTAGTTCTGCTCGCACAATCTCTTCCAGAATTGAAATTTCGGAATCTTCCTATTTTCTGCCTGGTTGTGGTCAGAGTTCTGGACGGTTCCTTATAGGGGCTGCTGATCCGAATATACTTCGAACCTCCGAGAACAAGGCACCAAGATGCTTGAACAAGAGGGGTGCAGGGAGGTCGCTTTTAGTGGCACTTGGCTTCGTTTCGCCTTAGCAATAGTGGTAGAAAGCTTCCCCCTCATGGCTGTCTCTGTCAAGGCACCAGCAGGGCACTTTAGTAGATCTCGCTGTTAGATCTTCGGGTGCTGATCGTGGCTTCGTTTCACTCCTGACATGCTGCGCATTGCCGTTGTCTTGCGACCATCAATCATGCGCCGATTCGGTGGCTGCATGCTGATTTGCAGAAGACAACTGCAATCCTCGGCCGGGCAACTCACTGCGAAATTACGTCATTGTCACAAGGCATCCGATGTCATCGGCCTCGTAAGTACAGCGCTCGGATCGGAGAGGATGGATGGCGTACTGTGGGCAGCCGCAGTTCAGCGCTTGAGCCTCCTCGAGATGCGAGGGAAACCCAGCCGCGAAAGCTGGGCATGGCTCCTTGGCATGGCTGACTCAAGCCTCCAAGATCTCGGGTATAGGGAGCTGGCAGTCGTTGCCGTCGCCATCTCGAAGCTAAAGAAAGATCCGGGTGGGAGGAAGCATTTCTTGAATGCAGTTTTTCGAAATGCTTTGCTCTTGAACGCAAGAGACCAGAGCATGTCTGTTCGCCACCTTGCAAACCTGGCTTGGTCTGCTGCAGCTGCGAAGGTGCAGGCTCGCAGGCTCTTCGAAGTCGCAGCCGCCGCACAGTCGCAGGAGCAGAGTCGGTGCTTAAACCCTCGGGACGTCTCACAGCTATTATGGGCATTTGCGCGCTCTTCGCACTTTCAGCTTGGTGTGGAAGTCTTGGAAAACCTGGCCAGGTGCCACGCTTCGCCGCACATGCTCCCCACGTTTGGTGACCATGACATAGCCGCGACGGTATGGGCTGGAGCAACTTTGGCAACTCACTTGATGCCCAGGGAAAAGGGAAGGCTCTTCCTGAAGCAGATTGCAGCTCATGCAGCTGAGCGGTCATCGGAATTTTCCCCGCAGGGTTTCTCCATGCTGTTCTGGGGAACAGCAACTCTGGCTTCGAAGGGACTTGACATGCCGAGCACTGCACTCACAGCAGCGTGTGCTCCCCACGTGGTTAGTGTTGCCAGAAGGCTGACAACGCAGGGTGCGGCAAACATCCTTTGGTCGTTGTCGACTCTGGCAAAGATAGATCCAGATGTCGCAGCGAAGATCGTCGAAGAGATTCGTGCCGGACACCTAGTATCAAAGCCTCGTCGGTGTTGCAGACGTAAGACTGCGACTTGAATCAAAGGACGTTGGGTCGGTGTCATCATCTTCAACGAATGATGGCCAAGGCCTTCGTTCAAGTCTTGGTATCTATCAGAGTATCAGTGCGAAAGAGAGCAGCTCCGCAGGGCGGCAAGAGAACCCTGGCATCATTGAAGCCCTGCTGGAGGCTTGTTCTTGCCTTAGAAAGATGCCGCAGAACTCATTGGCCAAACCAGACTTGCAACCCGCCGTGTTTGGCTAGTTTCCACGCAGCGCCCGGCATCTAATACAGTGTGTGCAGCCTGTGCGAGGAGATTGTCAGGAAGCTTTCGAGTTGCAACGGGCAGGCCAGAGGGGATGCGCCTTTCTCAACATGTTTGGATGGACATGTCGGCATCTCGATCTGGTTGCAGGATATCGCCAATTCGCTTTGGGCTGTCGCAAACATTGGATACCTGGGACCGTCCGCGGTCTCGCTCTTTAACCGGATCGCAGAAGATCCCGATGCAATTCCTGTGCACCTCTTTTCTGTCTCTTGGCGCACATGCTTCATGCGGGTCTCAGTGTAAGTGTCGTCCAGCTCAGCAAGACAAAACGACTTAGGCGCAGGAGTGTGCGAACTCCTTGTGGGCGATTGCGAGAAGTCGCTGGAGTGGGGATCCGCAGAAGTTTGTCCGCAGAGTTTGTGCTAGAATAGAATCTTTCGCTCGACTGGACGAGCAAAGTTTGTCTATCACTGTATGGGCACTGGCAGTATTGGGTCACAGGCATTCCGCTTTGCCTCTGCTTGGCAATTCCGGGTTGAACTTGAAGAACCTGAATTCTTTTCCAAATGCGAGCCTTTGCCTGCTCATTTGGACCTGTGGTATGCTTGGCATACGGGAAAGCCCGTTCCCAGCATTGGTTGTTGCATTACGTTGCCGAGCAAGGGAACTGACACCAAGTCAACTGTCAGTGGTTGCGAGAACCCTTGCAGGACTATGGCCAAGATTTGCAGATCTCAAAATCAAAATAGAATGTTGCTTTACAACACTATGTTTATTATTCTAGGGGCTGCGCCCACGGGCAGGCAGCGCAGGTAGAAGCCTGGAGCAAGGCCACGCAGCCCCCTCCGCCGAACCCCGCTGATGCTGATGATGCGCGCCCTTCCCACTCAAAAATTCGCAAAACATCGTCTCGCCCTGCAGGGCCGATTGCGGGCGCCCCGAGTGCTCATGATGCTCGCCGGCTGGCCTCCTGGGGTCGTCCAGGCGGGCCGCCATAGCCTGGCGAATGGCTGCGAAACGTGTTCCGAAGGCCTCCGGGCGAGGTCCTGCGTGTGGAAAAACGAGGGTCCGATACCGAGCGCTGCCCGAGAAAATGTTCCGAGAGGCGGGGCGCGGTCTTCGGGACAGGCTGGATAGGGGATGTGTTCTTGGGCTAGTGAACGATTGCAGAGTAAGGCTCAGCAGAATTTTCACTGGGCACTAGAGTGCAGAATGTAGTGGCTGCCGCCAATGCCACGCGTGTGAGGGGTCGCGGTCTTCAGAAAAGTGGCGATGCGGTCCTCGGGATAGCAACCGATAGCAAAATAAGTCCCAGCCGTAGGGCCAGTAGAGCCCCAACCCTCGTAGCCCAGTCGCGAGCCTAGCCCAGCCCCCCCAGCCCCTCGAGCTCTTCTGGGCTTTTGGACTTTTCTGGCACTCTTCTTGAATTTTTCTGGGCTCTTCTTACGCTTTTCTGGGCGTTGCATGGACTTAGATTGTCAGGCTTCTTGGCATGCTTTGGGCTCCACGGTCTTGTTCGTCACTTCCAGTGCGCGGTTTAGGATTTAGGGTAGCCCAAAAGCCTTATGTACTATGGTCGTTGGGCCCAAAAGCCTTAAGATATGAGCCCTAGGGTTAGGGTTTAGAAAAAAGGTTCAGGGCGTAGGGCTTAGGGTGAAGGGCCTCCAGGACTCTTGGGTTTAGGGTTTGGTTTGGGGCAAAGGGAGGTGCTCTGCGCTTGGGTGCAAAGGTTCCCCTACAAGACCTTACGGAAGACTCCTTGCCTGAGGGCTTGGGCTGTTTAGGGTTTATAGGGAGCAGGGGCTTGGGGTGTAGGGTTTAGGGTTTAGGGGCTTGGGGTTTAGGGGATTTCAGTGTTCATTATGTATTGGGTTGAGCATCGGCTCTCTTTGCTTCTATACAGGGCATGTCTGAATCTATGCATGGTTGTACAAGGTAATCGGCATGGGGAAATAGATATAAGATGCTGCCGTCTTGATTGTCATTTTGAAGCCCGTAGATTGTTAATTTGGGCTGTTTCTGGGCCTTTTAGATTATTTGGGTTAAGATTTGGATTTCTTAGATTATTAATTAACTCAACCTTTATAGTTACCAAGCCTTTAATAGTCTAAATCCCAATACGGCGCGCTTTACTTTAGATAGCCTAGCAGTTAATCTTTCGCCTAGCCCAATTGTAGCCCCTAACTTAACACCTACATTCTAGTAACTTCGTAGCCCGTTCTTTGCTCCAAACCTAATCCTTGCAACTTAAGTTGGTCCACCTCTTTCACTCGTAATATTCTAGAGCGCAGCTTTAATACGATAGATACGACTGGCCCAATTTTTAGCGACTAAACCCAAGCTAAACACTTACAACTAAAACTCATTAAAACATAATTTAAATCTATTAGAATTTAACTAAAATTAATTAGACCCTCGTTAAACTCTCTTAACAAGAATCTAATTGATCTCTAGCTAAACACTTATTTAACGCTCACAACTCTATTAATTTAATTAGTGCGAAATCTCGACTAGACCCTTACTAAATTTAAAAAGGCTTTGCCGACAAATACATTATTATAGAGCACTTAAATCTAAATATCTTTACCGTATTTTTCTTAAATATATTGATTGATTATATTATTTTAATAAGGTCAAATTTGGTCCGTTTTGAAATTACAAAGAAGATATTCTTAAGTTATTTAAAATATATTAGAAATTATTATTTACGTTCTCACAACTCGGACAAGTCAGGCGAGGTGTATGGTTCGAGGTCGGCGTGAAA